GCATTACTCGCACTTAGGAGCGGGGAGGGCGTCAAGAAATGAGGCCAGGAGCCTCTGGATTCCTGAGAACCAAGCAGAGTACCACTGCGGGGACAGAAAGGGGGTCGGAGGATCCAGGAAACCTGCCACTTGTGCCAAGACACTGCACATCACTGTTTCTCCTCATCCACACTTCTAACTGTGCCTGCAAAGGAATCCTACAGGGAGTACTCCTGGGTGTGGAGAGCTGGGGACATTCCCCTTTCCGTACCTGCTTCCCTTTCCAGTGTAAGGAGGATCTTGCCTCGTCAAAGAGCCACATACCTTGGGATTCCACTCAGAATCAAAGGAGGTGTGGGTTTTCGGTTATGTTGGGGTGTCCGTCACAAAGCCTGATCCAGGGAGAACGGAAAAGGCGGAAGGGGAAAGAAATGGCCACAGGAACCACCCCAGACAGCGCCGTACCTCAGAGACAACCCTACACCGCAACCCATCCGAGTCGCCACTCTCATGCCAAGAAGCCGGAACGGGCCAGTGGGGTGCCCGGGGCGCCCTCCCGGTAGGAAGGACAAACCGCCGGCCAGCGCCAGGCCCCTGCCCTTCCCGCCGTGCCCCTGTCACCTCGGGGCTCCCCGACTCCTCGGCCTCTCCGGCACAGATAGAAGAGGTCCGCGGCTCTGTTTACCTTGGTCATCCCAACCCCCACCACGAACACCCGGTGCCGGGGCCGAGGCTTTACGGCCGTAAGGAGCATGGCTCAGACTGTGCGCTGCGGGGGCCGACAGAGCAAGTCCTGAGGCAGCCGACGCGTGCGCTCACGGACCAAAGCGGCAGCGACGCCGGCTCTCACCCAAGAGCTAGGGGCGGGCCCAGAGGCGGTGAGGGGGCGGGGGGCACGCTCCGGCGGCGCGAGGTGGAGCGAGAGTAGGGCGCCTGCGCGTGCGCAGAGGCGGCCGGTGGTGGCGTTCTTTTCGGGGAGGGGGGCGTTCAGCAGTTCTTTGCGAAGCTCTGGACCCGGCTCACAAGCGGATGGGAATCTGAGTCCACATCACACATCAGGAAAAAGTTTCCTAACCTAGTACAGCCATTCGGGTTTACGTTCTCTATAATGAGAGGAGTAGCGCCTGAGGCTGAGAGCAGAGGGTGGCCTGAAACCGGACTCAGAAAAGCGTAGCCTGAGGAAAGGTTTTGGGAGTGTTCTAATTGTTCTGTATCCTGTTACTGTTGGTACTCAGAAGAGTCATTGCAAGTGCAAAAAGTCATAAGGCTGTACAACAAGACTATGGGGAGTGTTTTACTGGATGTCTAAAACAACCAGATTTCATTTCACTAGCTATGTGACCTTTCTTGTTAATCTCTGAATCTCACTCTTGTTTTGCTCCCGCAAATTATGCTCAGAAACTGAGCTTTTGTCTTTGCCGATGGTTTATTTAGCACAGATTTGCTGTAGGGATTCTAATTTATAATAGTAATATTTCACAAGCCAGTAGCATATGGTTAACGTCTCTTAATAAGCTCATAAAGAAATAACATACTCCAAACCAAAGATAGGTTAACTACGTTATAGTTCCAGGCATAAGGGAGATGAAATAAAGTCCAAGTTTAGTTGTGATGTACTTTCTATGAGTTAGTTGGTTCTCTGTAAATCAGTCCTTCCAACTAAGCTGGGAATCAGCTGCCAGCTTAGGTTCCTTACTGCTGGGGCACACAGCTAGCTGGCACCGAGTTGACCACTACCTAGGAAGAGTAGGCTTGCCAAGGCAGAACAGAAGTCTTTGTCTTCCTGAGACCACTGTGCCTTGAATACCACTCAGGACCAAGGGTAGGGTGGCCACCCCACATGAGCAAGTGTCTCAAGACCTTCAGAGATCTGCTTTGATCAGCAAAGAGTAGCCTTGCCCACATAGAACATTCTCAATAAGTCCTCATAAATTCTTGGTATTTAAAGTTTAAATGTCCATTATATCATAGTTGCTCCTCCATATGTTCCTATCTATAAGCACTCAGCAGCACAATTCTGCTATCATCTTCACATGGCCTCCCAAGTTCACCGTCAGATCAGAACAACTGCACGTAAGTCATAAGTGGATTTGAAATCTTCACAAACCAACACATTCTCATAAGGTGTTTTGTGAAGATGATCCTAATAAATACACAGCAAGGACCCTTACTCAGGACTCCTGTCTCCTCCTGGACATTAACCTCTCTCATATTCAATTCTGCATCTGCTCCCTTGCTGGACAAGAGAGAATTCCAGACTCAAAGTCTGTGACACCTATGGCCATACTGTTATTACCACTTTGTCCTATGCCCATTGCTGCTCTGCTGATCTTTCTTGGAGACCTAGGAATAATAATAATGTAGAGGAAGGGGGCACTTCTTTATTTTAAAAGCCAGGCACCAGATTTCCTCTTAACAAAAGGAATTCTTTTATTGGTGTATTAGTTTGCAAGTGCTGCTATAACAAAGGACCACAGGTTGGATGGCTTAAACAACAGAAATTTATTTTTCCACAGTTCTGGAAGCTGAAAGGCTGAGATAAAGGTGTCGGTAGGTTGATTTTGTCTGAGGTCTCTCTCCTTGGCTTACAGATGGCCATCTTCTCCCTTTGTCTTCACAGGTCTGTCCTCTATACCTATCTGTGTCCAGATTTCCTCTTCTTATAAGGACATCAGTCATATTGGATTAATGCCTAGCCTAATGATCTCATTTTGAACTTAATTACTTTTTTGAAGACCCTATCTGAAAACACAATCATATTTTGATGTACTAGGGAATAGGACTTCAGCATACGAATTTAGGGGGACATAATTCAGTCCACAACAGTTAGCATTAACCTCATTAAGTATGAGAAGTGGGGTCCCACAGTTGATCCCCAACCTTTCTTTCTCATGCATTCTTGTGTCTACTATTCTTTAAGGAGTGAAGGAGTTGGAGTTGTGTCCACTAATATATAGAAAAGGGACACAGAGGGATGGCCAGATGATCCATAACCTGAATTAACTCATTGGAAGCAAAGGCAAGGGATCAAAAATGACTAGGACTGATACAAACCCCAATTAATCTTTTAGGTCACACAGAGGAACTTAGGGTTTCCCATTAGACCCAGGAAGGAGATGAGAGCACATTTTTGCTTAAACCTTACTAGACATAGTGATGACCTCAGCAAACACCAATGACTTTGAAAAGAGAGAATGTTAGGGGTGTCTGGGTGGCTCAGTTGGTTAACCATCTGACTTCAGTTCAAGTCATGATCTCATGGTAGTGACTTTGAGCTCCGCGTCAGGCTCTGTGCTGACCGCTCAGAGCCCGTAGCCTGCTTTGGATTCTGTGTCACCATCTCTCTCTGCTCCTCCCCTGCTCATGCTCTCTCTCAAAAATAAATACACATTAATTTTTTTTTGAAAGCCATGGCTTTCAAAGAAATAAAAAGAATTTTATTTCTAGATCACCTAATAGTCCAGCCATTGGTTGGAGGCATGAATTATTAGTGACTTTGGGGTCATTAACAAGTGGAAGGCGAGTGAGGTAGAGTGTTCACTGAACACTCTTTATTGATCCACCCAGAATGAACTAAACAGGGCCACTGATGACCTCTGCAAAAGCATTTTGGGTAGATAGTGGAGGCAGAGGCTAGGGATTCACATTCACAAATATTTTTGCCATCTAATTAGTGAGCATAAATTTGGGATGATTGAAGAGTAACTGGGAGGTGAGGCAGTGAAGCCCATGAATGTAGACAACATCAGAATGAATAAATGAAATGACATTTAAAAAATGGAATAAGAAGCAAGGTTCACACACCCCCATTCAATCATCATAATACCACCATGACATAGTGACAAAGATTCTCTTCTTGACCAAATTCTAGCCATGCCCCTCTGAGCCCACTTCTCTACTAGGCCTGAACCTTGGCCTACAATGACTTGAACACTAACATAGTTTCTAGCAGATCAAGGCCACATTCCTAAGATGACCCTGGCCCCCCTTAGAGTGCCTGGAGGAGAACACTTAAGCCAACTGTAGAAATTAATAAAGGAAAACCCTCACTAAAATGCAGTCAGGAGGCCAGAAAGAGGAGTTCCCATGCGATACCACTGGACATCAATTACAGGAGGAATTGTCAATTATAATAGACTCAACAGGAGAGGGTGTACATTGTATCTCCTACAAGAAATCCAGTAGGTCAGCTGCTCAGCCCATGAGAAACTGTGATCACTCTGACCTCTTGCTTTTCTCCAGTGGGTTTTGGTTTTAAAGCAACCACTCCCAACTTCTCCATAAAATATGGTTTCCTCCTCTGTTGGACTAGCCTGTTTTTTTCCCGTGGCTTGTTTGTCCCAAATTGCAATTCTTGGCCATTCCCAAAGACACCTACTTTTGCTGGTAAAACAACTTTTATTTTTAAGGTCAGCACTGACAAAAGAATTTACTGCTTGTTTCAGCCAACACCTGAAGACAGCACCCCCCCTGTCTGTCACCGCTGCCACCAACCCCAGTCTCTGTGGGAGCCTAAGGTTGGATAGGCGCCAGTCAGCTAACACAGATGAGTTTCACGTGGCCAAACGCCTTTCCTGATTTTTGTAATTCTTCACAAGCCCGGTTCACCCACCTCTCTCGTTCCTCTTTCTCCCTTTAAAATTCTCAGGCACCTCTGTACAAATGGAAGTTGAGTTCAGTTCACACACGACACTTCCCATTTGCAGTAGTACATTATCTGTTCTCACTACTTTAGCCTCCCCTTTATCTGCGACAGTAGTCACTATTATTATCCCCGCTTTAGTGATTAAAACACTGGCACTTAAAGAGGTTGACATCCTTGTCCCAAATCACACAGCGGAGCCGGGCTTTACCTAGCCAGGGCTCCAGGGCTCTGAGAGTCAAGAGGCGAGAAGAACTGCGTTGTGCTCTCCGCCCATAGGTGGAGCAGTTTGCGAAACCTGGGGGCGCCGCTGCAAGCTTTCAGCGAGAGAGGAGGGTGCAGTGGAGGGGCCCTTGGCACCTTCCCAGCCTGCGCCCAGATGCTGCGAGCCCTGACCGGTGCCCTGCGCCTTCCACGCCCCTGGAGACCCCTACAGACCCGCAGCTGCGCCTCCGATGGGGCGGCTGGGGACCCGGAGATCCAAGTGCGCGCCCTGGCAGGTCCAGACCAAGGTAAGTGCGCTGTCGCGGGAGCGCCCAGGGGGAGACGCGACGGGTCCGAGCCGGGCTCCTGGCGCTGCTGCCTGGGCCGAAGCCATGGCCAGAGCGGCCCACTACACGAGGGAACACAGACCAGTAAGGGGAAGGCGGGTCGTTTAAGGATTTGATCCCGAATGTGCGGTTTCCCAGTCAAGGCTCCCCACGCCTTCCTAAGGCCGGGGAAGTGGGTGGCCCCGTCACTAGCCGCCCAGACCCTAGTTGAGGTGGAGCTCTAGGTCAATCTAAGTCCCTTCACTCCCCCATTTGAAGGCCTGGGGCTGTGACGGAGGGACGGAGACTCGCTCAGCGATAGACCAAGCACCGGCGACCCCCACCCCTCACCACTTCCACCCCAGTAACTTTAAAAGGCCTGCTGTCCCGTCGGCCAAGAGTCCTGGCTAGTTTCCAGAGCGCCGAGGGGGCGGAGCCAATCCGCCTCGCCATGCGGGGACGAAGAGGGAGGAGAGCAGAGGAGGAGCAAAGACCTGGGCAAGTCTCCATGCGCTCTGGCCCTGCTGTGGCTGGCCGTGGCTGGCGGACTTTTACACTCTTTTGAGTCAAAGGAGAAAGTTCGTGCTGGTCACTGGCAGAGAACTTTTTTTTCCTAAGTAGGCTTCACGCGGAGCCCTAAGCTCAAAGTGGGGCTTGAACTCACCACCCTGAGATCAAGACCTGAGCTGAGATCAAGAGTGGGATGCTTAACTTACTGAGCCACCCAGGCAGCCCTCCATTTTCCACTAAGGGCGTTTTGTTTTTTGCTGGGGTGCAAGGGGATGTCAAAGTGCATTCAGTGGCGTTAACACCCCTCAGTCCTCTGCGTGTTACCATAAGGGCAAAGCCATTTTCTTGGCTTTACTTTCTCCCCAGTCCCAACTCTCTCCCTGAGTTTGATGTAGCATAGTTTGTGTTTTAATTTACAGTTTTAAGTACATAGATGGTGTCATACTATATAACTCGTATTTCTTCCTTTTTTCCCTGGTTGATACTAAGTTTTGAAGAGCTGCTTTGCCATATAAATCTAGTTTCTTGCTCCCTGCTGTTGTATACTGTTCCGTAGAGTGCATCCCCGACATGGACATGAAGGGTCTTCCTGTAGCCATTTGGGATTGTTGGTTCTTTTTTGGTTTTGTTTTTTTAATGTTTATTTATTTTTGAGAGAGAGAGAGAGAGAGAGAGCAAGGGAGGGGCAGAGAGAGGAGACACAGAACTCAAAGCAGGCTCCATGCTCCGCACTGTCAGTACAGAGCCTGACATGGGGCTCGAACTCACAAACTGTGAGATCATGATCTGAGCTGAAGTCAGACACTTAACCGACTGAGCCACCCAGATGCTTAGGATTGTTGGTTCTTAGAGAATACTCCTTACTCTCATGCTTAGTTCATTGCAAAGCACAACAGCACTTGCTTTGAGATTGTTATAATTATTCTCCCTACTTTACAGATTAAGAAATTGAGGCAAAGGTTAGGCAGTTTGAATCAGATCTGATTTCAAAACCTGTTTTCTCAACTATTAGGTCATCACTACTTCTTTAGTATTGACTCAAAAGACAGACTTCTACATCAATTAAAAAAACCAAAAACCAAAAAACTATCATATGTCAAATTAGGGCTCACTTGCAAATACAGAATGTTTTATCCACAAATAACAAGGATTAGCAGATTAAACGGCTGCCCTTGCCAGAGGGCATATAGAAGGCAGGAGGAAGTCACTGAGGAAGGAAACCACAGAGGAAGGAAACCATGGAGAAACCATGGATGGAGGAGGCAGCCGGAAGAGACTCACAAAGGAGAACACCGCCACCACCCCCTACCTCCATCCCCCCCACCTTCCACCAACCTACAGTGATTTGGGGTCATTTGATATTCATGTTAGAAGCCACAGGTTCTGCTTCCACTTGAGCTGATGGCACCACAACATTGTCACATTTTCTGTTGTCCTTGAAAATGGGATTCCCTTTTTAACCACTCTTGGCTCTTCTTATGGCTCTACCCAACTGCTTAGCTGGGCGTTCAACGTTCTCCACCACAACCTTACCTTTCCATCTTATCTCTTCAGCGCATTGGGTTCATTTCAAACTGTCCCACCTCTGTTTTGTTCACTTGGAGTCTCTTTCCACTCTGCTTATGTAAGTCCTTATGGTATTACACACCCCCTCCTTCCCATTTTCCCACTACTTTGCATGTATCTAAACTTATCTCTCTCATAGGTTGTTAACTCTTAGAGAGTGAGGATTGCTAGGTGGGTCCAGCTACTAGGCACATCCTCTTCTGGGACTGAATTTCCCCTTCTATATAGTAAGGGGTTGTAAAAAGAGTTGGTCTCTAATACCTTACAGTGGTTCCTGTTGACTTTTTCTGGGGAACAAGAATTTTCTGTCCCTTTCAAGGTCTAGTTTCTAGGTAAGAGTGGGGAGGGTATAGTACATACCTATCCTTACTGTGGAGGTCCAGCAAGGGCAATGTTCCCAGAATCAGGGCTTGACTAAAAAGTCAGGGACCATGGCTGATTCCTCCCTATTTCTCCAGGACTTGACATGTGATAAGTGCAAATTAAATGAAAGCCAAACATAACCCTGTCTGGCTCCTCATAGCTCCCAGCTTGGAGTTCATTCCTTCTATTAAATCCTAGAGTTTCCCTAGCATCTATGCATTTTTCCTGCTCACTGCTCACTCACAAACTCTGGCTAAGCACTTATGGGCATTATCTCTCTCTTTTTTTAAGACTTTATTTTTAAGTACTCTCTACACCCAAGATTTACAAACAAATTTACAACCCCAAGATCAAGAGTTGCATTCCCTACTGACTGAGCCAGCTAGGTGCCCCAAGGCATTATCTCTTTTAATCCTCATAACAACCTTTTTATTATTAAAAAATAATTTTTTTAATGTTTATTTGTTTTTGAGAAACAGACAGAGTGCAAGTGGGGGGTGGGGGCAGAGAAAGAGGGAGACACAGAATCGGAAGCAGGCTCCAGTCTCTGAGCTGTCAGCGCAGAACCGAACATGGGGTTCAAACCCATGAACTGTGAAATCATGACCTGAGCCGAAGTCAGCTGCTTAAGCAACTGAGCCACCCAGGTGCCCCCCTTTTTATTATTTCTACTTATGGATTAGGAAATTGAAGACCAGAGGGTAAAGCAACTTGCCCAAGACCAGTGGAACTAGTATATGACTAAGCTGTGACATGAGCCAAACACCCCATTTGTATTCTGAAAGAAGGAGATAGAGATGGAGAGAAGGGATAAAGATGAAATATGGGAGAGCATCAGCCAGAAAGGCAAGACAGAATAGGAAAGTGAAGAGGAGAGAAGAACGTCTATCGATCTCAGGATATTGCCTGAGGATAACAAATTACCACAAACTTTATTGCTTAAAATAACACACATGTATTATCTTATAGTTCCTATAGATCAGAAGTCCAGGCACAATGTAGCTGGGTTCTCTACTTCAGGGTTTTACTAGGCCACAATCCAAGAATTGGCCAGGGGTATGGTCTCCTCATAGGCTTGACTAGGGAGAGATCTGCTTCCAAGCTCCTCCCATTGGTAGAAGTCACCTCCTGTGGTTGTAGGACTGAAGTCCTGTTTTCTTCCTGTTGGTCTGGGGGGTGTCTCGCAGCTCCTGGGGGCAGCCTATAGTTCTTTGCCACAGGACCCTCTCTATAGGTCCACTAGTTTCTCTAGTATGCCCTAGCAAGACAGAGTCTTACATACATTGTAACCTAATTATGGAACGAACATCTCATCTCCTTTGCCATATCATTAAATTTTAATCTTCAAAGTGACATTTTATGAGTTTAGCTGTATTCTGTTGGTTAGAAGCAATTCACAGGGCCCTGCCCACACTCCAGGGAAGGAGATTATTGAGGATATGAAGATGGGGCCTGTCTGCCACAAAGATGTTGGACCTCTAGACTGTTTTCCTCAATCCCTCTGATGTGGTTTCTTTGTATCTACCAGAATTTCCCTTCCCCAGAGTTGCAGCATTTTCTTTCATGGAACGTTAGAGCTGGAGAAGACCCTGGGGACATCTGAGTTCTGTGGGACCTCCAGACCTGTTGGGCTCAAAGAACTCTTTGAAGGTTTCTGGGGAGGCTAAGGAAACCAGCCTAGTCTGCATGTTACAGATTTCTGTCCTGAACCACAGTTCTCTAACTCCTGGATGGAAACCCTGTCCCTTGAGCACTCCAAAACTTTTATTGTCTCTTCTGTGTCTCAGATTAACTCACACTGAGAATGCCATCTTAATAAATACTGCTTATTTCACAGACAAGGCTCAGGACCCTGGGGGAAAATACTAAGGGGTCTTTGAAGGCCAAAGGATAGGTAAATACAGGAGGTGATACAACCAAGAAGGTACGAGAGTATTTGAGCCCTTGCCCAGAACTGGTCTCTCTTCTCTACAACTGGCCCAGATTGTGGGGGTGAGTTGAGGCCAGAGTAGGATGCAATGGCCATATTGGGGATGGAGGGGGGGGGG